AAAAATCATTACCATCTTGAGTGAGAAGTCTCAACAAACTAAAGCTTATATTCCATTTTCTGTAACCATTTTCTGTAAAATTGCATAACTTAAGCGTATTGACAATAACATTTTCTAAATCTGCAAGTAAAGTATTACTCTGCTTACTGCAGACCTCTGATATTTTAAAAGATAATCTGCATTTCCACAAATACTACTATTAGCCAAAAAGTGTACTGTCAAGGGACTCATGAAACTTGAGTTTAAATTCTACACCTATTACAACTTCCTTTGTGATAATTTGGAGTGTATTACACTGAATGATGACAGATGATTTCCAGCCAAGCCCCCTCCATTGTCCATGCTGTTCCTAGGCGCAGAAAACAAAATGCACACCCAAGCAGATTCTCCAGCTCAGGAGACTACACATTAATTCAAAACAGAGGAAGGTGGATTGCCACCGAGCTGCCTGATTGCAAAGGGGGATGTGAGCAATGGTACTGAGTCAACTCTGCTGCAGACAGCTCCAGACTCTGCAGATGCTCAGTGGGTGAGTCCAGCTGATCACAGGGACGGGGAAGCTGCTGCATTAGGGAGGACCCTGCACTAGAGGCTGAGGCTCCCACGTGTTGTGTTGGATGTGCCCCAGCAGAGCAGCAAAGCAGACAGTGGTTTCAGAGCATGGTTTCATAACTCAATATGATCTAACACAGGATTTCTGTGCCCTACTCCAACCCCAGCTCTTTCTGTTGCTTTCACACTAGCAGAGGTGCCTCCTGTCAGGTCTATGCTCTGGCCTGTCAAATAAGTGCTCTTCAGCAATATCCACTCACTTTGGGCTGTGTGACTCCTAATGCCAACACGAGAAAGAGGCTGGCAGTAAGCAGGGTAGGGCTGCATGGGAATACACCTGGCTTTTGGCAGCAGCAGTCTTAATCCTTTTATAAAAACTTCAAGATATCTTACAGTTGCCATAGCAAGTTTTTTAAAAGCTCTTGGTTAGCCACCATCATCTTCTAATTGTATACCAATTACATACAAAATCAAATTAGTACATCGTAGTCTTGATTTATTGATGTAATTAAGCGTGTGTTTTATTATAATGGTATTACAATACATTTATTATTAAAGTGCTACACTGAAGAAGAACATTCTGTGGAGTAAGTGCTGATTCACTTTCACAACAATTATCCCATGACATTAAAGAGACTGTTTATGGTACAGTTTAGCACACCCCTGCAGGATCAGTACACAGAATTTACAGTGGCTTCCTTTATTAACAAAGGAATAACAATTTTTCGTCAGTATTTTTCTCATTATCTGTGTCTCAAGAAACATACCTGATGGACTACCACTGATAAGGCATCATAAAAACATCTCTGAACACCAGATAACACAACTTAGAGCTTTTTCTTTATAAAAACCAACCAACCCAAATAAACCAAGAGCAGAATCTTTATCGTGCCAGGGCAGGAGAGCAGAAGAGGTCAAGAGTATAATCAATACTCAACATGCCAGCAATAGCAGGAAGTCTGTTGAATAAACAATTCTCATGCCACATGGATTTGATTGCAAGGGATGAGGGGAAGAAATCCTTCCTGACTACAACTGGTAATCTGTTACTCAGGCAGCACAAATACAATTCCAGTGCACACCTGAGAAATCCACTCATTCCACCCTGTATCCTGTTTCCAGCACTTGCCAGTCTCCAGTTCCTCACAAACCAGTAAATTTAAAATGCATAACAAATCCCGGAAAGAAATTATGTTTCAAGGTGGAAATAAAATTTCCTTCCTAGCTAGTGTTTTCTTAATTAGAGTAGCCTGCAGGCAACTGGTAACTTTGAAACTCAGATTATGATATGAAAAATATGGTGCAAACAAACAGGGATCCAACCTCCTTTTAAATCCCACCTAAGCACCAGACTGATCTGTTTCACCAATTTAATACGGTGTCTCCGAGAGTTCTGCATGGTCACAAAGCTCATCCATCCTTATACTGAAACAATTCAGGGTATAAAACAAGACTTCCTCAATTCTCTCCAGTGCTGTTGGAAACCTTTCAATCTGCAGTCCAGATATATTCCCACGTCCTAATACATGCACTCTTTGATGACACTGAATATTCCTTAGTAACTCTATGCACATTTAAGGCTTTTCACTTGAATTTTCCAAATGTTTTGGTTGCTTACTTGACAAGATGCTGCAGGAGGTACAGTCAATGGTACAGGAATTTCTGAAAAAGATGTTTAGTTAGCACTGTGTGGTTGACCTCAGAGACAGTACCTTTGTTCCTTGCTCAGACAAAAGGTAATTTTGATCAGACACATAAAAGTAAGAACTTTTTTCATAAAAAAGGCAATATGCAACAATAGTATTGGAGCTGTTTACAAGAAAGTAGGGTAATTAAGAGGATCTTCTCCCATGCTACAGGATGCTAGAATGTGTATCAATACCCTAAGGAAAGAAAAAAATTCAGCTTTGCAATCTAAACTGGTAATGTCCTTAATATTAATTAGCTGAAGACAATGTTAGGGTTGTTTGTTTCCATCAAAAATCCCTTTTCTTAAAAAGAAATACTAAGTAAAAAAAAAAATTGCACCTTGCAGTTCTCTTAAGGTACTCATTGCTGAAATAATCACTGCACTATCTCAGGATTTTTAGATTTATCAAACCTGTGCAAATTAGCTCATGAAAAAGGGCACCTTTTGAATTACTGGATCTCTTCATAATTACATTTTTAATTTTTGCAGGTTTTATAATTCACATATCATAGTTTTAAGTATTTTTGTGTCCTAAGGAAGAAACATATGAGAATTCACATGGCAAAACCAGCCACATCATTTTAAGGAAAAAGAAAGGAGGAGAAGAGAGGAGGGCAAAAAAAAGAATGGCACAAGCTAATTTAGAAGATATTGTTCTGTAAAATAAGTTGCCTACAATTTATGTTTTTAAAAAAGTAAAAGGTGTTACCTGCAGTATTATTTAAATAGGATTAAACTAACAACTGCAACTGAATTTTTAAAAATCTGTAAAATATTTGAACTACATATTTCATAACGTTATAAACTAAAAACATGAAACTCTGTTTTAGTCCCTCTAGATGTAAATCAAGATTTGGAGTGTTTTCAATAATTCATTCTATATACCACAAGAAAGAAAATTATTGTTTTTCTAAGCTTTAGAAGGAGGAAAGGCTGGAAGAGGAGATCCTGTAGTCAATCAAACTCTCAAGAAGAGGTTCATTATTTTAATCATTACACTGCCAAACTTGGGAGAGAGAAAAGAATAAGCAATATTCACTGGGGAAAGTGAAAATGGAGAACAGGTACTAAAACACAGAAAAGGAAGCAAAGATAGTGATTATAGAAAACATATCTTCTTGTATGCACTGAATAATTTAAGCTCTAAAATATTAATAAATCTAGACTGGCAGAATATCCCATAATTGCAGGTTTTTTGCTACTCTGACAGACCATCATTACTGTAATGTACATTCTTTCATCCACTTTCTCCATAACTGACATGCTTGAAGAGGCTTGAAGATAATCATTACTGTGGTTACTCATCAGCCCACCTACACTACCCACTGTGCTGGGTTTGCCATGTTTTTCTGCCTTTCTTTCTCAGTAGCTTACCCAGACAGGTTTTATCTCCCACAGCACTGTGACCCTCCTCTCTCGCTGCTGTCCCCAGAGCCACAGCAGCAGCAGGGCTTTAACTGGGCCTGAGTTGTGAGGCAAAACCATCCCGAGCCAGAGGCCACTGCTGGCGCTTTCCTTCAGTCACTGGCCCCAGGCTGTCCTTTCCTGCCACTAAAGAAGCAGAACTGTTCTGCTCTCAGCCACTGACTGCTACACACAGCAGCACTCAAGCTCTCAGGACCTAATCACTAACAGACCTTCGGTATAGTACATTGCACAAAGATCCGTCTTTTCTCTAGCTTGAACTTAAAGCTAAGTAATGGGGGTTTTAAACTAACCTGTCAGGTACTGAATTTCATAATGAATATTGGCTATCTTTTTGCCATTTTAAACATTATTAAGGTCCAAATTTAAAAAAGACATGAACAAAACTCCCAAACAAACCCAGCATTTAAGTTCTAAGAAAGGCAGGATCTCATATAGAACTCTTGCCACCACACCAAGGGAGAAATCCCCAAATCACCAGACAATCTAGAGATATCTGGAGGAAAAGCCAAAGCAGAGTGCTGTAAAAGGAAAGCAGGAAATTTGCCAACTACAAATGCAGCTTGTGAACTATTGATTAAGCAGCTGGAGTTGAGCCCAAGCTGCAAGAGCCTGCTGTGTTAGCTCCAGCTGGTGTCAGACGGCCCTGGGCAGGGCTGGCAGCCGCCCTCCAGAGGTCTCTTCCTTCTCCTTCACCTGGCCAGCGGGAGGAATCCTGCCCGCCAGGAGTAAGACAATTTCCCTGTCTCAGCAGCATTATTGCCTCAGCCTAACAAACATAACTTTAAATGAGTTTTGTATAGTTCTATTCGTCAGCTTTAAATGCTGTTCCAAATATTCTCAGACTACTGCTATTTTAGAAACTAAAGCCTTTGCATTTTATCAATTTAATGCCCAGTTGAAATAAAATCATTTAAAGAGACATAATGTGGTCTGAAAAGCACACGTCTCAAGACCAGAATAAAGGCTAATTTAAAGTATGAGGGGAGAACCGAATTCCAAAGAAAGAAAAGAGCTGAGAAAAGCACTGTTGAAAATGAGGCAGCAAGATGTCTAATACTAAAGGTGTGTGGGATTTTATTTTGCTATGCCATATTTAATGATGTTTATTATATTTATTCCCATAGTGACATTTTGAAGCATTTTGTGCAATATTTACAGGACAATACAGAGTCCTTCATTAATTCAGCACTAAATAATACACTGAAAAGACTACTTGATTGCTCATTTTTCTTCATACTGCAATTCCTATCAAGCGATCATCATCGTTATTTTACTAGTCTCAGGTAAAATTTAAATTCAGCTTTTAGGGTTGGTTTTTTTTTTTTTTCAGAGGGAAAAACAGTACCTCATTTAATGTACAAAAACTCTTCCTGACCTACAGCATTACATCAGGCATGCTGGTGAAATGAACGTGCCCAGAACTTCTGCATTCTCTGTCCCCCAACCAGCAAGTGACTGACCTTCCTTGAGACTTTTCTGGCTGGTCACCTCAAGGCATTGCTTCTCCTTCAGTGGCTTAAGATCTCCTGCAGGCAAGATCTCGGAAAAGCCCTGCTGCTGTTTCTTGGAGCTATCGATCATGGTGGGAATCCTTCAGAATGGCAACATCCAGCACCGAAAAGAACGCAGGCCGCGGTGGGCAGCGGTGCAGCGCGCTCCGCGCGGGGCCCGGCGCGGACTCCTACGGCAGCAGCCCCGGCGCCGCCGCGCCGCCCATGGCGCTGCCCGACGGCCCGGCTCGGCTCGGCTCGGCTCGGCTCGGCTCGGCTCGGCTCGGCTCGGCTCGGCTCGGCCCACCCCGGCCCGGCCCGGCTCAGCCCACCCCGGCTCGGCCCGGCTCGGCTCGGCTCGGCCCGGCTCGGCCCACCCCGGCTCGGCTCGGCTCAGCCCACCCCGGCTCGGCTCGGCTCGGCTCGGCTCAGCCCGGCCCGGCTGGGTTGGCTGTGCCCGCCGCCAGCCCGCAGCGCGCTCTCTCCGCGGGCACGGAGCATGTGAAGCACAAGTCCCAAACCCCGCCTCTTCCCAGACAGGCGCTCCCGCTCCGCCCGTAGCTACGCTCGCTTCCTCTGCACATTGGTGTTTCAACGTGCAGCTCGGTGGTCAATCATCTGACAAAGAATGAGTCAAGCGGTTAAAAATAAATCCAGCAGTTGCTGGAGCAGCATTCGCTGATACCTAAGACAAACTACTGCTGAGGTCTCTCTCCTTTTCTCCCCTTCCTTGTCCCTGCCCCCCACTCCTCGGCACACTGCTGCAGGCAGCAGAAACACTTCATCTTTGCCTGGCCGGCACATTCATTAAGTCTCACCAGTAAACAAAGCTGCACAGCCGCATTTAAAAAAGTTAGTTACGTTAAGGAACCTTCCCACCCACCAACCCCAGGTCTGGTTCCAGAGACATTTATCTAGCAGAGGCTGGGAAAACCAATGATTGTTTCCATGCCTTTCCCTGCAGCGTGAGAGACTCTTTTCCTTGTTGTAAATATCTAAGCCCCGAGTATTTTATTATTTTCCTTTTTGCATTAGTTACACATCTCATTATTCTCAGCAGTTTCAGGAGTATTTCCTCCCACAGCTTCTGATCTGCCATTCTCTGCAGCATATCCCATTTATCTTACATGAGTCATCAACTTCAGTGTCAACCTGGAAGATTTCAGGGAAATGGATCCCCTCTAATTACCTGGCATTGGCCATAAGGGAACAGCAAACGAGTCTGCATTTAATTTCCTGTACTTACAGAAAAGAAACTATACATAATGTTAAAGAGTCTCTACATGTCAGCTAGGAACTCTGGCAGGCATTTTTTCCCTTCCCTTTGGCCTAAAAATGCTATCATTGCATACATTTTCCACGCCTCTTCTTTGTATTTTAAATCCTTCAACCTGAAATTATAAAGGACATCTCCATTGAGATAAAATGTTTCACTTCCATAGAATCAGATTTGAAAATACCTATACACATTTGGATGCAGAATTTTTTAAAGTGGAAGCTAGAAAAAAATCTCCATGTTTTCCTCTTTGGATCTTTCTACAAGACAGTCAGCAAGCACTGACTCTTCACCTTGACAGTGCACTCCCAGGGCAAGTGACAGCACGGGCTGTGAAGCTGCCTGGCGCAGCCAGCAGGATTTGGAGCCTCTCCCTGTTTGCCTGCTGCTGGGAGAAGGGAGACCCAGATCTGCTCAGAACTGCAGGCTCCAAGGAGGCATGAGCTCACCAGGCTTCAGCAGCCTCTTGACACTAAGGAGCTGACAATACAGGCAAAAACTCTTTGCAGCATGAATGATTTGAGGCCACCTTCCAGGCCTAAAAATCAGCTGTCTGCACATCATTTGTATAAAAATTATCAGCTTAAATTATGTTCTGCTTAAATACAAGTTACAGACTATTCCAATACATTTCCTTTTGCAGTGATTTTAACTGAACACAAGAAAAAAATACTGCGGAAAAGCTCCTTCATAAATCAAATTAACTTCCTCACTGCCTGCAGCTGAACACTTACTGTGCTTAAGAAACAAAACTACTGTTGAGAAACTCCACACGTTCAGAGAATAAAAACTGACACAAGCAGAATACAAACACATACTGCTTAAACTCAAACACACATTAAACTCTGACACAGTCAATAAACAGAATATTACACACTTACCAATGTAACAGATTATAACTCCACATTTTTCTTGTACCAAGAGAGAAGTTAATTGTTTGGATGGGTGAACTATATTCTAACAGTGTAACAATATATAACAGCACAAATTGTTTTACAAAAGGGTACAGTGCACTTCACCACTGAACTGATTTCCCAATGATTCAGAAAACAGTATTTTGAAATTTTAAAAATTCCATGCTCTAATGAGGAAATATGTAATTAAAGAAGCCAGAGGAAGACATTTTTCTTCAAACACCATATTTCTGAAGGAAGTTCTATCCATTCCTATCCCTTTATAGTGCTTTATATAAATTGAGAGTGCTCAGGTGAAAGCCGACCACTCTAACAGCAGCCGGGAGCAGTGGGAGCAGTTCAAGCTTTCAGGAGCATTTCTCTTGTTCAGAAAGAGAAGTTTAGCCAAGAGTTTGTGCTATCCACTCCTCCCCCTTCCAAGGGTAGCCACCCCACAGCAGATCACTGTGCTTATGCTTCAGCTACTTGGAGTTATACCTCATATTTTGCTTCAACTTCACCTCTTAGTTCAATACAAGCCTAACATAGAGATGAAATTTTTGGAAGACCTTTAAGAAGTCTGATCTGAAAATCTCAACAATAACCTGCAAAATCTTTAGTAAGAAAAGCAGGAATCACAGAATTCATGAAAAATAAGAATGAGGAAATTCTTGTACAGACTAGGAGAGATGAAAGGTCTGTGTATTTTTCATGTAACCAAATACTGCTGTTGCAAATAAATGCTATACAATTTGGAATAGTTGGGTGAGGACAGACATTACAAATGAAGACAAAGAAAATATGCATTTCAAGAAGGAAATAATTCTGCTCCAGAACCAGTTACACTGTGAATATGGAGACTATCTGGATATTCTGCTCAGGGTTAAGTTTGTCTTAAATTCCTGCATGAAGAATAACATTTATGTCCTATATCATGAAAAAATATTCCTATTCCAACAACCTTTTGTTTTACCAGCAGTCTTGAATATACCTTAATCCAAGCTCAGTTGATAACTTGGTTTTACTGGTGATTTGAGTGTGCAACAATATAGTTCTTATATTTTTACTGGTAAGGCTTCAAAGAAAAACTAATCATCATCTCAACATGTCTGTTGGAAAAGTCTAAAATTCTGGGACAGCTTCACAGGCACCTGGAGGCATCTCACAATTCCCAGCTCCACAGCACTGCAATGGGGGAAAAGTGCATGTTCTTATGATGGACTTGGTCAGCATTCCCAAGAGCTGTACTAGAAGGAACAGAAACACTGTTAGCTTGTTCCAGTCCTGAATTCCCCTGCTCCCTGCCAATGCCCAGGTGTTCAAAGGGGTCCTGAGCAGGTCCCATGTGAACCAAGGCAGAGTGCTGCCTGCTGTCCCCCGTGCTGACCCACCTCCCATTTAAGGACTCCTTCCCTGCCGAAGGAAATAAGTTTGTAACTCCTCTAGAATGGTTTACATACATTCTTACCTGTGACTAAAGCACCACAATGACTCCTCAGATTTACTCATGCACTTTCAAGTCTGATGGCAATATTTTAAGCTCTTATGAAATAGCAGAAGTTCTGTCATAAGCCACCACCACCACACTGATACATGGAATACACTACCTATGTTTGGGCAGCATCTGCCTTGAAGATTGTTTTGACAGATAAAAACTGATTTGTATTTCAGTTACTTTTGTTGCTGGTTTTATAGGACCCTAATTCCACATTTCTATGAAAAGAAATTGTGATTTTACAAGTGGGAACTTAATACCTTCCCACTCAAATCACCCATTTTTACCTACCACAAAAAATTTTCCAGAGTAAGTATTAGCGAAACAATAGTAACTTGTTTGTTCTTTGACTACTCTTTATTTTAGCAGTAACACAGTTAATAGAACATCTCATGAATTACACAATATAAATTAGGGACAGAAAAAGCTTGGGATCTTACAACTCCACTCAGAGTTTGAAATTATTTTGTGTTCAGTATCTAAAAGTGAGCTGGAATTTGGATTGTCATTTGAAATTGATGGCATTGTTAAAAACAGGCAGAAAACTTTTTCAAATTGCAAATTTTTCATCTTCTCTTTCTGCTGCTGTCTATTTAAATAGAGAATGTTTTGTAATAGAGAGAACTACTCATTTCCAAACTAAACACTGGACATAAAACCTCTGCAATTTGAGCATATACCTGTTTCAAATTAGCTGTTTTTAACATTACACATAGCAAAATTAAACTGAGGATCACAGAGAAACCTAAAACAACCTAGAAACAAAATTGTGGCTGAGAGACTAGTTTCTATCAAACAACAAACTGAAAGTATCTCTTTCAGCTGAAAGAAAATCTTGAGTCCTGCATGTTGTGTTTTTCAGTTACAGGTTTGAACTTTGTTAAAAACTTCATCAGTGTATCCAAACCAGAAGCTGAAGTAAAAGACACACAAGAAGTCTTGGTTTCAGTGAAAATAAAATCTGTTAGAATTTTCATTATTTTCAGAGGGCAGAAGTACCTCTCATTTGAATTTCAATTAAAGTTGAATATGTTGCATAAGAGTGGGTGAAATGAAGAAAAAAGGCCTCAGAATGGAACATTTCTGTCAGTTCCATAAGCCAGAATCTCATTTAATAGCAATGTATGGCACAAGTTCTTCACAAACGTTTGCTTTACATCTAAGGTCATCAGTGCTTGTTCCTTCCATTCTTCTGCAACACAGACTTCCAAGTGTTCTGCCAACCTTCAGCCTACAGCAAGAGTGTTATTTAAAAAGTGGAAGTGTCTAGTAGATATTAACCAAAATTCCAAAGTACAGGAGGAAGCAATGCAGCCCCACAGCACCTCCCCAGTGCCTGCCTGT